TTATTATTATTATTATTATTATTATTAGGCTCCATGAGGTGAGTTGCCATTGGGCAAATGCAGAAGGTGGGCAGACTTGTGTTATTAACTTAAGCAGGTTTCCCAGGTCCACTAAAGCCAGTGCCAGCCTCACCATGTGGTAATTGACTTGGTAGCCATTTTCCTGCCACACAGCAGTGCCCAAATGAGCTGCTTGCTGCAGAAAGGGTGATCACATGCCTCCCCACCTCCAGTGCTACTCTGTATTATCTCTTGTTCATCTTGGACAGATGGATAGTCTCCAGAAAGGTTGTAGAGAATACAAAAAGACTCATTTGTGCTAACAGGAAGATGTGTTGGAATGAACAGAGCTGCGTTTCAGAGTTAGTACTGGAATACAGTCTGTTTCTTCTGTTGCTTCAGGCCATGTTGCAGAGTCTGAAAAGCAGCTCCTAAATTTGGTTTATTTTATTCCTGTGCATTATCACCAAGCTTTGTCTTTCCTTGATGTCTTCAGAGGTAATACTATCTGTACTGTCTGAATGCCTAGAACATGGCAGACTCTCCAGATCTTCACATTTCCAAAGTCTAGGAAGGAATAATCCTTGTTCTGCAGACATTTGCATCTGGATAAGTTCCAGCCCCAAACTCTGAGTCAAATATGGGTGTCTGGCAGATCTAGTGACTCAGTACCAGGAATTCACATATAGATTTCTAACTGTAGTTTTGTCAGCATTACAAGAGATAAGTGGGAGTGTTTGAAAATTAACAGTATACTCAGTCTGCTGCCTTTAGGGAGGCCTGTGCACTAGAGCAATGCTGCAGCTTGATTATGTGACATCAACCTGCCACTGCATAGATAGACCTTCACCAGATTATCTGTCCCAATCTGGATCTTTAGGTGTCCCAACAGTACCCCTATCACTGCTGTCATTGAATCCATCCACCTTGCTGCTAGTTATCCTTTTCTCTCCTTTCACCTTTCCAAGCTTATGGTCTTCTCAAGGAAGCTGGGTCTTTGCATAGTGTGTCCAAAGTATGATAATCTGAGCCTGATCATTTGTGCCTCAAATGAGAACTCTGAGTTGATTTATTCAAGTGATCCATTTGTTGTTTTCCTGGGTATCTATGGTATTTGCAAGAGTCTTCTTCAGTGCTAAAGTTCAAAAGTGACACTACTCTTTCTGTCATGCTTCTTCAAAGTCCAACTTACGCTTCCACAGAGTGTCACAGGAAAAGCCATTGCCTGCATGATTCTGCTCTTTGTAGGTATAGAAATCTAAATATATCTTCCAAGGCTTTCATTGCAACTCTATCAAGTGTTAGTATGTGGTGTATTTATTTCTTGACTTCTGATTCCTTTACCATTGATAGTCGATCCTAAAAAGCAGAAGCTACTCACTACTTCAGTGTCTTCATTGTCAATTCTAAGGCTGATTGCTGTAGCTGTTGTCATTAGTTTGGTATTCTTTATATTTAATCTTAGTCCCATTTTTTCACTGTTTTCTTTGACCTTCATGACTAGAGCTCACAGATTATTTGCATTTTTAGCTATCAGAGTACTGTCATGGGCATAGTATAAATTATTGACATTACTTCACCCAATTTGAAAACCACTTTCATCTTCCAATCCATCTTCCCTCAATATATGTTTTGCATGTAGGTTAAATAAATAAGGGGAGAATATACAGCCTTGTCTCATTCCTTTGCTGACCTAGAGCCAGTCTGTTTCACCATGTTCTGCCCAGACCATGGGTTCCTAACGTGTATAGGTTTCACATGAGGACAATGAGATGTCCTGGCATTCCCATTTTTGTAAGGAGATTTCATAGCTTGGCATGACTGACACAAATTGAAGACCTTTTTATAATCAACAAACTATGTATTGGATCATTTTTGTTTTTGTTTGGCTTTCTCAATTATCCAACATGCATCAGCAATGTCTTGTGTTCCTTGGCCTTTTCTAAAGCCAGCTTGAACATCTGGCATCTCTCTTTCCACATAGGTCTGTATTCTGTATTAAATGATCCTCAGGATTATTTTTCTAGCATGTGAAATTAAGGATATTCCAATAGCTTTCCACTTAGTAATGTCTAGAGTGCTGATCTAACTTCATCTTCTGGAACTAAAAGTCCTTATAAATAGGGAATATCTTCTAAGGGATCTTAGATGTTGTACAGAACCAGTTTACTCCTTCCATCTTTGTTTGCTGCAAAAAATATTCTAAATTGTAGTCACTCCAGTGAAGCTTTGTCTTTTTGTTGGACATTTCCCAATATTAACTATTGTAAATACAGCAATTGTCTATGGTAGCTGCTTTCAGATATGCCCATGCAGAAAATGGAAATGTGGAAATGGCATAGGAATACATAGTTGAAGGCTAGGACATTCATGGGTTACAGGCTCCTCTTGCTCCCCAGGTTCTTTATCCTACATGACACTATTTCTAAAAATGTCTTCCTTTTTTATTATTAAAAGAATCTGGCATTCTGCAAAGCACCGGCCTCTTATATAATATTATTTATAAGTATGCTTCCAGGTGCCATATAGCTTTGAAAAGACATTCTTTAAAAATTGGTGGCCAGTGTTTTGTTTGAAAATAGGACTTCCTGATGCCTCCCCTCCCCAAAGGGGTGGGGGAAAGAACAGTGGAACAATAGAAATCATCTTGGGAGAGCTATAACAGGTGGCAGAAAGCAACTTCACCAGCTTGGCTTCTGGTGAAAAAGAGTTTAATAATTGACCACATTTGTATCCATTACATGGTCTCAGTTTTCCAAATGTGCTGGTTCTGTCCTAATATCTCCAGTCACACATTCCTTGCTCCCACACTTTCCAGTTTGCATGCCAAGGTCTAGAAGGGCATTGAATGGACTCATATTCATTGGAATGTGAATAGAATTCTCTTGTTATCAAGGAGGCTGATTTAACAGGGTTTCCAGTTTTATGGGCAGGAGACTCCAGTTGCATTAAATAAGTGTTTTCTCTAACATCACCAAGAGAATTGCATGGAACCAGGCTTGACTCAAGGGCATCTTTACATTTTTAACCATGAAATGAAAAAGCACACAAACACACACCCCAGATCTCCTGGTGAGGAAGACCAATACAATAGAATCACATATTCCCAAATGAACTTTATGTACATTTAATGTCATTCAAGTATAATACCTGAAAAGACAAGTGTAACCACCTTATCCCCTGCAAGTTTCCTTTTCTTTGTTTAGTTATTAAATGGTTACGCTTGGAATCTTCAGATGTACAGACTGTCCAATGGTGGGCCAACTCTCATAATTTTGTGTCTCATGATTTTGAAAATTGCTTTCAGGATTCTAGCAGCTGTGGAATGCAGAACATCTTTACTGTATTGCTAACATTGCTGTGTAGCTATAACCAGTGTGACCTAGTAGTCTACACTCTCTTTAAAGGAAAATAATAGCCTGCTTTTTTGGTAGAAGAAACTGTAGCAGGGCACTGTCCCAAGAAAGTATTATTGTAGCATCTCAATTAGCTTGGAGGTAAGAGGAACAAGTTATTGTCTTTCATTCTGCCTTCTCTTTCTCTTAAGGGACAGAACTGGAATCCTTGATACAGTGGAAATCTTAACCTAGTCTGGGCTCAAGGCCCAGGTCTGTGTATAGTGAATTCCTCATCACTCTAATTGCTTACACGAGAAGCTAGTTACAGTAGAGGACCTGCATGCTTTAAGCGATTTCCATTACATTGTGTAGGTCTACATATGCCCTATGCTAAAGCAGATGGGGAGAAGCAGAGAAAGGAGCAGCTAAAAAGAGTTGTTAGTCTAAGTGCAACCAAGATGCCCTTCTCTAAATACCTTCTGCAAAGAGGGTTGTAACAATGCTAACTGGGAGTTATGGCCAGTTCTACCATTAGGCAGAGGTGAGTGGCTGTCTCAGGCAGCCGATTTTGGGTGATAGGAAAAAAAACTCAGCAGCTTGTTTCTCACCAATTGACTATTGTATATTTTTCCTGCCTGGAAGTTGGAGGTGCTTGAGAGATTTTCTGCTTCAAATGCTAAAATAACTTGGCTGTGGGATATTGGAAGAAGGCAACTTAAGAAATAAAATGTCTTGGGCTGCTGGGAGAGGCTCTTCACTGTTTCTTATCAGAACTGAAGAGTATTTTCCCATTCATCAGGAATCCCCTAATGTACTCTGTTCTGAAGAATGGACACATATCTCAATATCACTTTCTCTCATGTTCAGATGTTTCAAAACTTTCCATCTTGTTTTATAACATAATTCACAAATTACATTAAATGTTGGTAAAAAAATGAACCATGCAAAATTCTCACCTTCCTACTTGTTTATTGTTAAAATATCACAGTTATCCTTAGCTTGACATAGTCCTGATGAGTTTAATGACAACTCCCACAATTCCAAGGCCTCTAAGAATTAATGAAGTTGCAATATAGCACTTCTAGAAATGTATTGTTCTGATTTAAAGGATAGAGAAAAGGGCATATAGGAGAAAAGTTTTTATCATCATTAGTTTTTTTCTCTTAACTAACTAGTTGTTATCATTAGACCTTTTTCTTAACCTACTCCAGTTAATCCTTACTTAACAACCACAGTTGGGACCGGCAACTTGGTCGCTAAGTGGAAAATCATGTGACCGCGAAGGGCTTACAACCTTACTTCCCTTTCAGTCATTAAGCAAAGTGCCATGGTCACTAAGCGAAAAATCACTCGACCACAACTTATGATTTTACTTCTACCTTCTCTATTAACTCTGCTGTCCACAAGCCAGTTGCAAAGCACGCAAATGATGATCACATGACTGCAGAACACTGCAACGGCCATAAATGTGCGCCAGTTACAAAGGGCACAAATGGCAATCTTATGACCACTGCAACAGTTGTAAATGCAAGGATTGGTCACAAAGTTGTTTTTTTTACACCATCATAACTTCAAACAGTTGCTGCACGAGGCAGTCAGTAAGTGAGGACTACCTGTAATAGGCACGAGGTAGGCAATCCTGTGGCAATCCTAATATTAATGAATGACACCTTCCAGTAGCCCCAGAAAGTATAATTATGATGAGGGAAGCTGGGAGTTGCAATTGACTTGCCTCTGGAGTGCTACAGGTTGCCAACCTTTGCACTAGAGAATAAATGGAATCTCATCTTTGGTTTGATGATCATGAATCTCACCTTCTCCCTCCCCTTCTTATGTACAGATTCCCATACCAAGTGTGCCTACGCTACAGCCATCCACTCTCATCCCTGAGCGCCTGGAAGCTATACAGCGCTATATCAGGGAGCTTCAGTATCCTTTCAGCTATATCTGAATCCCCAAGAAATGAAAAGGGAAGCAAGGCAACTTCCTTGCTTGACCACAAAAGAAAATAACTGACTTGTTAACATTTCAGCTCTGCTGGGAAATGAATATTTCTCTCTCTCTCTCTCTCTTTAAGGAAGCTGTTCTTTGTTAGAGCCAGTGGCCTTGCTGCCTTATTCATTTCCTTTAACTTGTTCCCTTGGCATTCCATCATCATTGTTGTGAGCAAGCCAGAGTTAACTTGTTTCAAACTTTGCTTTGCCTGCATCAGAAATACAGCATTCAAACGGCATTTGACTTGATGCCTTTCCCAATGCATGGAGGGAAACCAGGGATTGTAGAAAGGATTTTGACTGCTTAGAGTGCACATTGCTGCAGCTGGACTCACTGGCACTCATAGCAGTATTTTGGAGGGGGGGGGGAGAGAGAGAGAGTGTAGAAGTGGGGGAGAATTTTGTGGGGATCATTATTGATGAAAGAAAAGCCAAATTTTCTTGCTGCATGCACTGCATTCCCTCTAACTTGCTATTATATATTTTTTTTAATTCACATCCTGTCATTATTTTTCTAATAACGTGCTTATGATTCCTCCTTCCCCATCCTCCAGCAGCTCTTCCAACCCATGCAGCCCTTAACTTCTTCTTCCCAGGTACAATCACACCGGGACACAGTTCTTTGAAATCAAGAAGAGCAGGCCTTTGACTGGGTAAGTGTTGTCTTTCTAGGCCTTATTTTGAGAATTGTTCTTTTTCTGACCCCAATACTAATACAAGAGCACACCTTTCTTCCAGTTGCAGAGGGTCCATGAAACAGCAGCAGCAAAAATGTTATATAATCTGGTAAAGAAACAGCTTGCACTTCATAATTACTTGCTGGATTTATAGGTCTTCTGTCTCTTTCAGTGCAGTTCAGTATTTCTGAACTCCTGCAACATCGCCATAATTAGTGTCTAGCTGATGTAATAAATACGGATGGAGGTGCTTATTATTCCTGATTGCAGTGGCACTCATGTAGTTGAATTTTCTGCAAGCCTCCATTACACGCTACATTTGGGTCTCTTGACCTGAGGCATCTAATGATAGAGATTAAACACACAATGTTATATGATTATACTCAAATTATTCTAAATATATACCAAGGCTGTAATCTGGTTTGGAAGACGATTTTTTACTGAATGGTGAATTCAGTATTGGTAGTGAAAGATAAGTGTGACATGAAGAGGAACTGACTGTCATGGGTACTTTTCTGTTCTTGTATGATTAAACAGTTATTTCCCATCGTGCTTTCCTTCTCTCCGAGCTATTCTCTACCTATATATTATATGACAAAAGCCTTTAAAATATTAGTTTTCTTGTTCTTCCTTTGACTTGTCCCACAGGCTGATGGATCTGGCCAAAGAAATGACAAAGGAAGCCCTGCCAATCAAGTGTTTGGAGGCTGTGATCCTAGGAATGTATCCTTTTATTTTAGAAGATTAAATGGGAGTGCATAGTTTTCAAACATAATGCCTTAACATTAATGTGCTTATGCTTTGATGCAGACTTCCCCAACATGGGTGTCTTCAAGATGTGTGGTCTTCAGCTTCCAGTATTCTCAGCAATGGTCATGGTGCCTGGGAAATGAAGTCTGCACATCTAGAAAACCCCAAGGTTAGAGAGGTTACAGGTTCTGTGAAGCCTGTAATATCATAAATATGCAAACTATCCAAATAAGCATTGTTTAATTTTCTTCTTGCTTTAGACAAGAAGCATATATAGAGAATGGGGAAGCTCTCATTCTCTAATTAGGAATACTTTTAGTTGAGTGACAGATTTCTTTTTTCTTGTACTAATAATCTAGGAGTCACATCTTGTTTTGAGAGAATTATGTCTTATTCCCCAGTATTTCTTGTGATTATAGGTTTTCCCTTGATTTTGTTGTAACATTGAATTATTGACTGTGAATACAGTTGAAACAAGATTTTCATTGCACTGCATATTTGAATTAGTGTCAGAATCTTGTTCGGTGGGCTGTATTATAAAATTTTGAATTGAGTCCTTGGGGTTCTCTGAGCTTGGTTGTTTTCTTGCAGATGTTTCATTACCTGGCTAGGTAACATCTTCAGTGCTAGCCCCGGCTAGGTAACATCTTCAGTCCTAGCACTGAAGATGTCACCAAGCCAGGTAACAAAACGTTTGCAAAAAAACAACCAAGCTCTGTCTTTATGATGCTAGATGATTTGTCCAAGCCCATAATCTCAATGATTAATATAAAGAAGTGTTGCATTGTAATCCCTGCTTTTTTCTTTTTGCACTCCAATTTGCGACTGGGGAGAGGCAAAGAGGGAAATTAGAAATATGTGGTTCTGTGCAATGTTGCTGGATAGAAGTAATACATTGTCTTCAGTCTTCAGTTATTAAAGGCGATATACTAGGGCTATGTTCTGGGAAGAGGAAATAAATATTAATATAAATATGAACATTTGCTACTAGATTAGTTAGGGTCAAGTTTGCTATTAATTTTATATACAAACCACTCTTCCTAAACAAAGGAATGGCAACTATTGCCTGAGTTTATAGTTTATAAATATAAACTTTTGTAGCCCATACTCATAGCTCCTGTGTTCCTTCCATTTTGTAAACTGGCAAGCCAATCAAGAAGTCATCAATTAATCTAAGGTTCATTACTTTTCTTTGTCATACCACCTATTTCCTGAATATTTCATCATTAACAGTTACCTCACCAACAACATGCCAACACTGGACCGCTTCCCCATCAGTTTCAAAACCTACTTCTCAGGGAACTACTTCCACCATATTGTGCTGGGAGTGAACGTTGGGGGCCGCTATGGAGCACTTGGCATAAGTCGACGCGAGGATCTCATGTACAAAGCTCCCACTTTCCGCACATTGAGTGAGCTTATCTTTGACTATGAGGAGGCGTATCGGTGCTGCTGGCATACCCTCAAAAAGGTGAAGCTTGGCCAGTGTGTGTCCCATGATCCACACAGTGTGGAGCAAATTGAATGGAAGCATTCCATCTTAGACGTGGAGAAGCTGAGCCGTGAAGACTTCCGCAAGGAGCTTGAAAAACATTCCCGTGACATGAGACTAAAGGTAAGGGGATGGAGGAAAAGAAGTTATCTTACCTCTGTACTGTTTGTTTAATCTACACCTGTAAAGTATGGGTGAGTGCCCTTTCAGTGCCTAGAACTGCTCTTAAATTACAGGTAGTCCCTGGGTTAAGAACCCCTGGTTTAAGGATGACCCATAGTTAAGAATGGAGCGTACTGTAGCAAAATTCGGGTTAAATACAGAGTGATTTGAGTTAATTACACAATATTACTTATACAGTATATAATAATACTGTTCCGACCTACATACAAATTCGACTTAAAGACAGACCTTAGGAACGAAATTTGTTCTTACACTGGGGACTACCTGTATTTTGGAACCATACTCATTGGGTTGATTATTTAGAACAGGTGGAACAATGTCATATACACATGAGTCTTTTCTTGGGGTTTGGGGGAATGTTATTTCTTTTATAACAGTTAAGCCTGTTTTGGACTTATACTGTAATTTTTGTGTGGTTCACATCTTGAAATAGAGAGGAGCCATTTCATCCATTTTTGGCAATCATAGTTGGAGGGACTCTGGTACCTACAAAAATATTGCTGGGGGAGGGGGGCGCTGTGTGTAGCCTTTGTCAGAGTCGCGCCTTGATACTTCAGGTTGCTCACCCCTATCTTAGTTAAATATTACTCAGTTGAATTTCTCATATTTGCATGCTTGAAGGTGAAATATGCTACAGAAAATACCAATTTTTACCACTGGGAAGGAAGGAATAATTGTTTGATCTTTCTTAAGGCCAAGTCTTGGATGTGCTCATTTGGCAAATATTGCCTTCCTATCAGCATGATATTAACAGCAACTTACTCTTTCTGTAGATATATGTAGCTGAGTTTTTATATACAAAATGTTGGTAAAGTGCTTTGAACATTACCTGAACAGTGCTAAACATATTGTAAGCTCCTTCCTAATTTTTGCATCAAGAGAGATTCCTAACGGTATGAACTTTCTCTTTCCCCTAGATCAGCAAAGGAACTGGGCCACCATCACCCACCAAGGATAGGAAAAAGGATGTATCATCCCCACAGCGTAGCCAATCCAGTCCACATCGTCGTAACAGCCGGACAGAAAGGCGGTAAGCCTGAAATGTTTTGCTCTGCCTTTATGTAGTTTTTTGTTTCCTTCTTGTTTTTGCTATAATTTAAGTGCACATACAACGTTTTTGTCCTATGTGAGTAGAGACAAAAGTGTATATATTGTGTCAATATATACACTTTGCACCTACATTTTTCCTCTGTTTTTAAGTAACCTATTTGGTTGTTGCTCCCAATAATGTTTTGAAATTAAATGATTGATTGATTAATCACTCATGGATTTTTGAGAATAACCATTATCTGAAATTCCGCTCCTTTTCAATGGAGCAGTATTTTGCATATTTATATGGAATTATGATCTTTGCTGAGTGGGACCGTTCCCAAACAAGGGTGTTTTTAGAATTGTGGGTTAGAAAAGATATCTGTTAGTCATGGATATCTTTGGAAAGCATTGCACAAACTCCTCCCTTCAATGAATAGTCATCACAGAAAAACAGTGGATGCCATCTGCAAGAAATTACCTTCAGCCAATGCATTCCGGTATTGTAGACTCATTGTCATAATGAAAGCTCATTAATAGAAAGAAACAGGCATTGCTTCCTGTCTCCTCCTGATGCCTCCACTGAAGCAAGAAAACCTCTTGCTTCCTGAGTTACTGTATGACTCATAGACGGAGAGGAGGTATTGATGCTGACTAAAGCCTGGTGTTTCTGCCAAGTCAAGGCTCTCAGAACTCTGCTTGAATTATGTCCAAAATGTATCCTTAAAGAATGTGTGGGGTGACTACTTAGCTAAGTTCCTCAGATACTGTTAACAAATTAAGATATTGAAATAGTTCAGACTTTTTCTTGTGAGAAGGTGCAGACTCTTTTCATTTGTTATTTGCTTTTTTTCTCTCCCTTGCATAGACCATCTGGAGAGAAGAAACCTACAGAGCCCAAAGCCATGCCCGATCTTAATGGTTACCAAATCAGAGTATAAAGATCTTCCCATTTGTGAACCATTTGGTGGAGAGCATTTGGACCAACGTTACCTATGAGATGTGCAGTGTGGGAGGGGACTCAGAGGGTACGAAATGCATATTTTCCAAGGTATTTCTTTACTCTGGGTTGTATCCTGTGGAATAGAGGATATCCATTTCTCTGAATTATATCAGGAACTGTTTCTAAATGCACCAACTAAACAAAAGAAATTAAATAGCAGATCTTCCACCAATTATTCAGTGTTCTACATATTGGCAAGGAAAGATACATTTTGCAAAGTAACAGTAAAAGCCCTTTCCATGCTGTTTCTCAGCCCACACAGAACTGGAATGCTTTTGACTTCAAAAAGCCCCATGATAGGCTACATGTCTCCTCTCTGCTTTTGAAGGAATCAAATTAGGAGGTCTCAGGAGAGAGACGGGGGCTAGAAGCAAAAAATACTGACTCCTATGGAAGAATTTCTTAATTTGTATTTTCTGAGAATTTTAATATTTTTAATAACTTGGGGAGTGGGGGAAAGCATACCAGATTGTTGCATATGCTCTAAAATCACCAATGTGATCCTTGTGTTTTTGTTTCAAATAATGGATTGCCTGGAATGAAAACCCACATCATGCAACTCCCGCTGCAAACTGGCCGGTTGGATCTTCAAGACATACATTTTGTAAATAGGAGGCAGTTTAGGAACTGCCTGTGTTTTGGAGCATGGATGTCAGATGAATGTGATAGCTTAATTGGCTTGTCATGACAGTACTCCATTGTGATGGATTCTAGAGATTAATTGGAGACTAGGTTTCCATTTTCCTCACTTTCTGGTGCTATTCTAGAATTGATTGTTGTTAGAGTATTAGAACCTTTCAGATGGCAGCAGAACAGCCCCAATCTGACACTCTCCATATGTGTGGGAATTGCAGTCTCACCATTTGGAGGGTGTCTTGTTGAGAGCAGGCTGCTGGGTAAGCATATCTCCCATTTCTTGGAAAAGAGTGTCCTACTCTTTTATAGTAACATGACCCTTGCTCTTTCTCCCTGTCAAGATGTGAATTCATTCTTGCTGTATGAAATAGCATACTGAGGATTCCTAGAGTGTGTCAAGTAACTTCTTGTAGCAGTGTATTTAGATATTAACACAGGGGGATCAGATCCTGGAATACGTCTTTCTGTGCTCTCTTTTCTTATTCTTTTTTTCCTCCCTTCTTGACTTGTGCAAAGTGGGTAGAAACCCAGACTTTTTCTGTGGAACAAGTATTTTGTTGCCTTTTCTTAATCCTATATTTTGATGGTGAATTTGCACTACTTTACTGGTGCATCTTTTTCTTTTGGATGTTTTGTTAATTAAGTATGGCTGCTAATATTGGCAGGAGCCAAACTTAGTTACTTTATGAACCTGCTCCACAGTTCAGTCCAAATCCCTTTGTCACTGAACTGGAAGATGGGAGAAAGGTTGGTAGGGCTTTAGATGCATGAATGGAACACTCTGTAGTGGTCATTGTCAAAAAGTTGTATGGGCACCCAAAAAGCAGAATAAACTGGACATTTAATATTTATTAAGTTCTGTGAAAAAGAATGTGATGGGCCTCTTAGACAACAGTTACAGTGGTACCTTGGGTCACGAACTTAATTCGTTCCGCGACTCTGGTCGCAACCCGAATTGGTCGCGACCCGAATCAAATTTTCCCATAAGGTTCAATGTAAATACGGTTAATCCATTCTGACCCCTACGAATTTGGTCGCCAACCGATTTTGGTCGCCAACTGAATCAAATTTTCCCATAAGGTTCAATGTAAATACGGTTAATCCATTCTGACCCCTACGAATTTGGTCGCCAACCGATTTTGGTCGCCAACTGAATCAAATTTTCCCATAAGGTTCAATGTAAATACGGTTAATCCATTCTGACCCCTACGAATTTGGTCGCCAACCGATTTTGGTCGCCAACTGAATCAAATTTTCCCATAAAGTTCAATGTAAATATGGTTAATCCATTCTGAACCTTATGTATTTTTTTTTTAAACCACAAAAATATGAAACAAAGTACAGTACAGTACAGTATGAA